GCACAGAGCATAGAGACAGCCCAGTGGCCATTGGAGAACCAGAACTCAGTCACAAGTACAACATACATCTGTGTAAGAATCAGATCTAGGGGCACTGGTGGCTCATGCCTATAATCCTAGCTATTTAGGAGGCTGAGATTGGAGGATCATTGTTCAAAGCCAGCCTAGGTAGGAAAGTCCATGAGACTCATCTCTAATTAACTACCAAAAAGCCAGCCAGAAGTCATGTGGCTTATGTGGTAGAGATCTAGCCTCCAATGAAAAAGCCACTGGACAGTTAGGCTCCAGGTTTAAGCCTCAGTTCTGGCTCTCTTCTCCCCTCCCCCCCTCCTCCCACAATAAAAATTAGACATCTTTTCCTGAAATATCTGAAATACAAAAGACACAATAGGTTTCAACTCAAAATAGTACCTAGACTCCATATAATCTATCTTGTCAGGTAATATAGAAAATAATCCAGTATCTTAAGAAACAAGTAAAAGCTGGGCACTGGTGACTCATGCCCGTAACTGTAGCTGTTCAGCAGGCTGAGAGCTGAGAATCAAAATTTGAAGCCAGCCCAGGTAGGAAAGTTCAGGAGACTCTTATCTCCAGTTAACCAGAAAAAAAAGCCAGAAGTGAAGCTGTGGCTCAAGTGGTAGAATACCAGCCTTTAGCAAAAAGCTAAGGCAACAGTGCCCAGGCCCTGAGCTGAAACCCCAGTACTGGCACAGAAAAACAAAAAAGCACAACAAAAACAAAAAAAATAGTAAGAACACAAGAAAAAATTTAAAAATAAACGAGAAAAAACAAGCTTGCCAAAGGAATGAACACTGCTTTCCCTTGCTTCTTTCATTTGCAATGGCACAATTACCTTGCTGTCAGCTCTTGACCAGCTAGGAGAAAGATCCTTCTTTTATAAACTGCTCACCACTGAGTGTCTCCTAGAAGCAGTCAGTCTCCCTCCTTCTAACTTTTTGCTAGTAAAATCACTGTGTGTACACAAAGGAAGGAAGGAAACTTGTTGTCTACTCAGCTGAGTGCCTCCATCAGCCTATGAAAGGCTTTATCATGGAGCAGGCAGAATTCATGGTCAAAGCAAGATCTATGTCCCCACCAGTCCCTGCTTTTCTTGGCACAAATAGCCTCAGCTGATCTTTAAAAGCACACCTCTACCACAAAGCTTCTCCAGGCTGTTCTGGCCCTCACACAAACTTATCATTGCTGTATTATTTCTGTGGCTTCTTGTTACCTGTTTCCACTCTTTCATCTTACTGCATTTCTTCTTCATATTAAAATAAATCTAACAGCACCGAAAAAAACAATTGCTCACTGACCAACAAGGGCAGAATTTGAACATTTCTTAGGCCCAAGCTTATAACTAATCTCTTTAGTTTACATAAATTTTCCTACAAATCCCTCTACCATTTAAAAATGGGAATATCATCATCATCACTTAAATATTTTCTATAAGGTATTCTGATTTGGTTTTTAATAAGATGTTAATAAAACAAGTGAGCATGAATGTGTGGAATGCTTTTATTTGAAATCATTTGTAAGATGTTTTCTATAGGTTCCTATCAAAGAACCACAAGAAAGGAATTTTGATTAAAGAATAGAGGTAGTGAAATGGTATATGAATATGTTTCCCAAGATTGTTATAAAGATAATAGCTAAACTGGTGCTAATGGCTCACACCCATAATCCTAGCTACTCAGGAGGCTGAAATCTGAGTCTCTTGGTTCAAAGCCAGCCAGGGCAGGAAAGTCCATGAGACTCTTACCTCCAATTTGCCACTAGGAAACTGGAAGTGGAGCTGTGGCTCAAACTGATAGAGCGCTAGCCTTGAGGGAGAAAGCTCAGGGACAGTATCTAGGTCCTGCGTTCAAGTCCCATGACTGGAAAAAAAAAAGATTATAGCTATAAACTGCCCACTGGTGGCCTAAGCCTCCTAGTTCAGACAGCTTAGGCAGAAAACTGTGAGACCCTTATTTCCAATGAACCAGCAAATATCCAGAAGTGGAATTGTGGCTTTGAGTAAAGTGAGCCAAGTGAGGAATTCAAAGGTCAGTACTAGTACCAAATAAAAGATAATATCTATAATTTAGATAACAGATGTCCATTTGTTCCATTTTCTAAACAATTATAGAATGGTAATAAATAAATCTCAGCAGAAAATAGGTGTAAATTGATAGAAATTCAAGTTGTGTATGGAGTTGAAGGTGCCTCTCATCCCCAAACTCATAAATCAGAGACTATGGGCATGTTCAAGATCAACACCCATTACAATCCTCAGCCTCTCAGGACCAGCCAGCCAGTTGAGGGGTGCACCCTGGGCTGGCTCCACTATCAGGACACACACTTCAGAAGATTCTCCACACAGAAACTTTAATTCCATTAAACAAACATATTAAGAAGCTATTTTTTGCTGGGTGCTGGTGGCTCATGCCTGTAATCCTAGCTACTCAGGAGGCTGAGATCTGAGGATTGTGGTTCAAAGCCAGCCCAGGCAGGAATGTCTGTGAGACTCTTATCTCCAATAAGTCACTCAGAAAACTGGAAGTGGCACTGTGGCTCAAGCAGTAGAATGCTTGCCTTGAGCTGAAGAGCTGAGGGATAGCACCCAAGCCCAGAGAAGAAGAAAGAAGAAAGTAGAAAGAAGAAGGATGGAGGAGGAGGAGGAGGAGGAGGAGGAGGAGG